AATAATGTAAATAGTATAAAAATGAGATGCGTTCAAAATCATCCTAGGCATCTCTTATGTAAACTGCATCACAAATGACACAGTGCGAGACAATATCAGACAAGAAACGGTCCGTCGAGAAAAGAAAAGGGATATGGTATTGAAATGTCATAAGAGCCAAAACACTTTCTGCTGCCATCCTTCAAGGTACCACGTGAGGCAAGAGAAGAAGAGGAGGCAAACAGGTGAAAAATGGTCACTGAATGAACTGCAAGACCATTTAGAGAATCTCAAACATTTGCACGAAACAGAGACATATGAAGGGAGCTGGTCACGTTCTCAACTGTGCAGTGACCCTATGATGACATTTGGTCATGGAACTGATGATGATGATAATGATGATGATGATGAATTGAACTTAAGTATCAGAATATTTCGAAAGAGAAGCGGGTTACCGAAATCAATTAATAACCCTTCCGTGCCTTTTGTATGAGAAGAAATGAGAAGAAAAAGATTTGATGAAAAAAGTATAATTTTTCCGTTGTTGGATGAATGGAGGCTGTTGTGGAAGTGTCGAATAGTTGGTCAATGTCCAGTAATAAAAGAATGTCTGGCCAAAACAGAAGTTCACGCCTGCAAAGAGCGTGAACATTATTGGCGCTATTAACGATTTAATTAGCCATAATGGTTATTTGATCTTTTGGACACACTGCGACAGATTAAGTTTAAATGGTTCACATCAGATTTGATCTCAAATATTCTCAGGTGGTGGTTGGAGCATCTCCAATCACTTGCTGGCGATAATGACGATTACCACAAAAGGAAGTGACAAAAATAACTATATTTTTTAAAAACCTACCTAATTACTCCTTTCTCTCTCTGTTTCTCTATCTATCTATCTATCTATCTATCTATCTATCTATCTATATACATACATATATATAACACACACACACACACATATATATATGCAAATACCAGTCTTTTCATATTTATCGCTCTCAGTCGTTTCATATCTACCTATCTATTGCGGTGTGATTGCTGAATATTTACGGATAGCAGCGGTCGTGATCATGGTCACTTGATACGTAATGCATTTGAACAGTATCGACATTGATCTTCTTGAAAAGCCATATATCCTAATTAAATCTTGTTCATTGCTGGCAAAAATGCACAGACAATGTTGTTGGCTATGTATCTGTAGTAATTTTTATACTAAAGTTCACCCATTACAAATCTCGAGAGCCATTCAAGGCAGAGGGTAACTGTTAAAATGGTTATAATGAATGAGGCGTGTGATATGAATGAAAGCGGAGATGGTAGGAAGAAAGAATAAGGAGAAATAGATAGCGATTGACCCTTGATTTGAAGTCATTAACATTGTTGGATGCAGGGAAGCAGACATATGAAATTCTGTTCTACATAGTAGATTTTAGAAGAAATTTCCCATTACATTTAGAATATAATGGAATTGAGAGTGATTCGACTCCATCGAAATGGCATGTTGTCTTCTTACTGTAAATGTCGGAATTGGTGAAAATGCAGTCCATCGAATTATTTGCCATGTGCAGCAATAGACTTGCAACATTGCATATGTGGGATAGAGACTGCAGAAATGAAGAACTTACACAGTCTTCGAGGAAAGAAATATGAAGCATTATATTCGGATCAACTCTTGTACATATTTTCATATATTTTATTCATTATCTTGTACAAAAAACGATAAACTTACAAAATATTATTCAAACAAACCTTCTTTGTCGTCTTTAATAAAACCTGATGAAAGGCATAATGTTCGTGCCAGAAATAGAAAAAAAAACGGCCGAAAAAATAATACAGAATTTCGGTCAGACGAAAGACACGAGACCGGAAAAATGTTTGAACCCACAGATAGTTTGGAAGATTATAGGTTCCGCACGTGCTCCTAATAGTCATAGAGAAAGATGTGACTTATGTTTACAAGAAAAGATTAGAATAATAAATTACATTAATCATAGCGAATTATTGAATCAGAGGAATGAATTAGTGTCAAAATGTCGGCATAAAAACAAATTCAAATTTCCATAATCTAGGTTTAACTTCATTAGCTATTATATTTCCATAATATTCACTTCCCTCGAACTCTTCAAATGTCGAATCTATAACTAATTCTAATTTCAATATTTTCCCTTTTTACACTATATTATTTATAATTTATAAACTTTTCCCTACTTTAAGATCTCCCCCACCAACTCTCTTTCCATTAATCCATTTATCTATATATTTTAAATTTGTTTTTACAACACTTTTGCTTCTTCTTTTAGTTTTAAATTAAAATTTCTTTCTTCATATAACCCGAAATTAATTTAATAAGGTTAATATTCGGGATTAATTTTATAAAACTTCTTCCCTGTAATACAAATATCTTCCATCCTCCCCTCGACCCCTGTCTCGTACCTTTCGTCTGACTGAAACATTGAAATGGATAAACTGTGTATTAGTTTTTCGACTTTTTAAAAATGTTTTTAGCTTTCACAGTTAAATTTCTATTTCAGACATGGACTCAGTCCATACCGGGGTTGATAAGACACACGACCGATATCTTCATCTGGTGAAATAGGCTATTCCCCATATGAGGTGTTTTGGGATTTTATTATTTAAAATTAGGATTAATATTTTATATTATTAGGATCAACTTGGATTATATAACAACAGATATATATATATATATATATATATATATATATATATATATATATATATATATACAGGATGTTAGGGGTACGCGCATGCGCTTTGTTTTTGGAATTTGTCGACTGCATTGTCTATGAGAAAAAGAACACCATGATGCAATTCACAGGAAACAGCATGCTGTAATGCAGAGGATTCGGAAGGTAATTACTATCCAACTAATGGCGGTTATAAAGGTTTAAGATCTCGGAAAACTCACTTTGTTCTTCTTGATAAAAAAGAATTTCCATGGGTTGCCTATGTCAAGTGCCTGGAGGAGGTAGTGCGGCTTTAGGACTAGAGGGTGGCTGCTAGGTGTCCCTATGTCTGGCAACTGGATTCTGCACCATGCCACACAAGCCAAAGAACCCAGTCATCACTCACAGAGAATTTCTGCGACCACATCGCCCCATACATCTGGCTATCCAAGTCACTTACACTGCAACCCCCTTGTGTGAGGAACAGTTGAGCTAGGGACCAACAAAACTGCTTGTAACACCAAAGATGAACTGAAGGCAATGATCATGACTGCATTCACCAAATTAAACAAGGGAGTCGTACAGAAGACTTTCAGGAGATTCCGAAGTCGCCTGGAGGCTGTGGTTGAAGCCAATGGTGATAAATTTACTCTTTAGTATTTCTAGATATTTTTATGTAATTTTGGTAATATATCTGTTCAAATGAGGCGTCCGTGTAATTTTCATTTTTGCGTAATTTAGACGACAATTTATTCGTTGCACCATATATATATATATATATATATATATATATATATATATATATATATATAAATTTTCTATTTGCACTAAATATTTAGTAATGTCTGTCTTCGTCACGGAAAAACAACAGAACTTACTCGCTATGGCTTTCGAGATTAATCTGTTTCTTATCTATTTCAGGTAAGTGAACTTGCTTGCTGTTTGTATTTACTGTTATCTACGACACAAGAGAATGCAAAAAATCGAAGCCCGACCAAGAAGAGATTAAAAAATAAAAATAGATAAAAAAAAAATCATATGTTTGTTTCTTTGTTCAGATTTTGCAAAGCTGTTGACACACTTCAGTATGCTTGTGAATATTTTCTTAAAAATGGAATAAAATATGCATTTTATAAAAAATACTTTGCCCAAAGATTACGTTAAGGATTATATTTTGAACCTGAATTAATCACATGAGCAAAAATCACGGTAATTACATGACTTTTTGGCAAACTTGTGATCAAAGATTGCATCAGAAAGAGTCGAATCTTGCAAGTCTTTAACTGCAGATGACATGAGCGTTAAATGTCGGCATTGGCAAACAGCATGTATTCACTAATGAATCAAACGTGACTTTAATCTTGAAAATAATCGCTCAACTTTAAAATAAATCCGCAGACATCAAGGAATGCATCAAACTTAATATAAAAATAGAAATTTCAGTGCCAATAATCTATTCCTCCAGTCTAAGCAAATCATATATTCCCATAAGAGAGCGAAAAAAACGTACGGAATGGTTTTGTTGATACAACAAAACATTATCTGTCTATATCTCTGAGATGAGGTATCATGATTACTTGCATTATTTTCATTAGTCGGACTGTTATCCTCATCTTCATTGCCATATTCACAACGTTTCGGCCTCTGTATCTCTGAGATGAGGCATTATGATTACTTGCATTATTTACATTATTCTTTATTTGTTATCCGCAAGGACACATGGCCCAGTGGATAAAGACGTTGGTTAGATCCAGCGATTAGACACAAGGAGTTGTGAGCTCAATACCAGGCTACAGCAGTGGTGAACCAAAAGATTTGCAGAATTAAAGGGAAATGACTAGTAGAGGCATGGCACGTGGAACTAGAATAATCTACTCAGGTGGACAAAATAAACGGTTCGAAATTCGAATCACCTGAAGAAGGCCGGAGTGTACAACGGCCGAAACGTTGTGAATATGGCAATGACGATGAGGATAACAATCTTAACAATGTAGATAATGCAAGTAACAAAACATTAAAAAGAAAATGAACTCGATTGAAAAGGCAATGTTCAGAAGGAGTTGGTTTCATCGCATTCCAAAAGGATGACCTTAAATTGACATAATTGGTGAGAACTTGAACTGGGCAGACCTATTTTTTTTTTCGAGTGTCTGCCAACGGCGCAGTTTCACAACCTCTTCCACTCGAAGGCCAACAGATTCGCAGTTCATATAGGCAGCTAAGCGTTACGCGAGAAAATTGAATCCACCTCATTATCCTTTATTGGCGATCATTTACGTTTAAATTGCCTTTTATCATCGGCCAGTTAAGGCAGTTAAATCAAGAGTTAAGTGGATGATTGCGAAAAGTCAGAGATGTTTGCTTGATTTTCTTCACAAATCTCAACAGGACAGACGTACAAGTCTGTTTTTCTATCTCTCCATCTTTTCGATACTCGCTTATTATCATATTTCATATCAGTCTATCAACTTTCTAAATCAATATCTATCTATCTATCTATCTATCTATCTATCTATCTATCTATCTATCTATCTATCTATCACAGTCTGTTCATATCTATATATCTATCTATCTATCTATCTATCTATCTATCTATCTATCTATCTATCTATCACTGTCTGTTCATATCTATCTATCAAAATCTGTTCATATCATTCTATCTATCTATCTATCTATCTATCTATCTATCTATCTATCTATCTATCTATCTATCTACCACAATCTGTTCATATCTATCACAGTCTGTTCATATCTATCTATCTATCTATCTATCTATCTATCTATCTATCTATCTATCTACCACAATCTGTTCATATCTATCACAGACTGTTCATATCTATCTATCTATCTATCTATCTATCTATCTATCTATCTATCTGCTATGATATATCTATATCTTTAACATTCTTTTTATATCTTTAAATCTGGGATATCTCTGTGTATTGTTGTCTATTCGTTCCCATCTCTCTCCGAATCTGTTAATATAATATTTTATCTCTCTATGCAAATCCCACACACACACACGAATGTTTTTGTGTGCGAAGGAATCATGCAATAAAAAAACTGCATCAAATGATCGGTTTTGGGGCAATTAGGATGACCATTGGTAATCATATCTTCCGACAGATGGAAATTCAACATACACAATAGTTGACCGAAGCATTCGCACATTGATATTCACGAGCACCTGAATCCATTTATTTACACGTTTATTCATCTACCCTCTCATATATAAAACAACAAACGAATGTACGCACACACACACACGCACACACACACACACACACACACACACACACATATATATATATATATATATATATAATAAAAAAATAAAATACCCCAAATATTACCTCATATCAGGAGTAGCCCATTTCGGCAGACGAAGATATCGGTCGTCTGTCTTATCAACCCGGGCGTGAACTGAATTCGTGTCAGAAATAGAAATTTAACCGTGAAAGCCAAAAGAAAAAGAAAAAAAACAGTCGAAACACTAATACAGAATTTATCCATTTCAATGTTTCAGTCAGACGAAAGGCACAAGGCAAGGGTCAGGGGAGGGTGTAAGGCATTTGTCTTAAAGGGAAGAAGTTTTATAAAATTAAACCCGAATATTAACCTTATGACATTAATTTGGGGTTATATGAAGAATGAAATTAAATTAAAAATTAAAATTAAATTAAAAATTAAAATTAAATTAATTCAACATTAAAAGAGAAAAACAGTGGGGGGGATTTAAAAATAAGATTAAAATATGTCGATAAAAGGATTTAAGGGAATAATGGAAAGAGAGTTCGGGAGATCTTAGAGTAAGGAAAAGTTTGTACATTATAAATAATAGCAGGTAAAGATTTTATAGAGTGTGAGGGTAATATAGAAATTAGAATTAGTTATACCTTCGAAATTTGAAGAGTTAGAGGGAAGTGAATGCTATGGAAATATAATAGCTATTTAAATTAAACCTATATTATGGATATCTATCTATCTATCTATCTATCTATCTATCTATCTATCTCTCTCTCTCTCTCTCTCTCTCTCTCTATATATATATATATATATATATATATATATATATATATAAAAGGCACACTTATTAAGCATGTATTTATTTAAATATGATTTATTAAATTATTTTCAGTTTTCGCAAAACCTATTCCATTTGACGTGTGTTTCTTCAACTTGCAACTGACGGTAATTTTATGCTCATAATATGAAACAAGTATCGACATGTTTAAATTGACAATGAACTACAAAATTTATAATAAATCCCGTGGTCATGAAAGCCTGTTATGTCAAAGACGAGTCACATCCCATTTGTATAAACTATGAACCTCCTACAGGAGGTTCGTTCGTCCTTTTAGAAGATTGATACAACACAATCTTTTTTAGCCATATTTCATCATTTTAAGTGATTAGCTTGTATCAGGTCAAACTGCTTTTGAAATTTTTACTTGTCTTTCTCCTAAATTGATTACCAAATAGAGAGTTATCTGTCTTGCTATAACTGATAGAGTAGAGATTCATACCTTCATCTAAGGTATATGTGAAATTAAATCCACCGGCATGTCTATCACTTCACTCATATATAATATCCACAAACAGAACCCAACTTAACCAACGTGGTGGTGGTAGACCCAGAGCAATGAGAGTATGTGTACGCATCTACATGAGCGTATGTGTGTGTGAGGAAGTTTGAGTTTGTCTGACGGCACAGTCGGCCGATCTGAAAAGCGTCAAGACCACCCCCATCTGTTCCTTGTATGTGAGAGTGTCATCCCAAACAAACACAGAAGCAAATTTCCCGCTTCCATCACACACAAATAATTTATAAATTGTATTATAGTTACTTATATATATATATATATATATATATATATATATATATATATATATATATATATATATATATATGGACTCTTACGTCGTTTTTTGACGTATGAGTGTCAAACCGTTCAGTTTACGTTCCCTCCTTACTACTATACGTCAGGTAAGACTTAATGGGAAATATTGATTTTTTTAAGGTGGGGGTGTCGTTAAACGTACTTCATCAACATTTACATAACTCAAACTTCACGGCCCATAATTCTCTTGACTACTTGACAGTGTTCTAATGGGGATTAATCCCTTATAGGCTCTTTCAATTTTCTCAGACCGTTACACCATGAAAGAGATTTGAAACTGAGGCATCTATCCTGTTGCAGACTAACACAAGACTTGTTACTTCAAAAACTACCGATGCTGTACGGTTTCCTGTTTCTGCTCTACCTCTTTATTCACCATGCCTACTGATTACAATTTTTTCTGGGCCTTAGATGCATATACAAATTAGGTTGAAAATGGTTTCCGTCTGTGACCTCAATTTTTATTGTGATGGAATATAATCACTGCTAATTTATTAACACACTCGATTCTAATGGTGCTTACCTTAACTAATAAAACTGGATTTAAGCCGAATTTTGACGCCATTTATTTTGTTCCAAGCTGATAATTTCAAAATATATATTTAGTTTCTTTTGTAAAAAAACTAATTATTATAATAATAAAAAAATAAAATAAAAAAACAACGTAATAATCTTATAGATATTCAAATAATTTTTTTAATTTACTCATGGGTAAAAACTATTATATACGCACATACAAAGACATGTTTAAATTTTTTATGAAAGATATAAGCAGTGTGGACATAGAAAGGAAGACTGCATTGTTACACGCCTTTAGCAATCATCAAACCAAATGGTACTCCTCTTTATGTAGGCTCTCTGTACAGAACCACCATACAGTGTTGATTCCTGTGTCAACACTGTTTAGCGATCAATGAAAGAAAATGTCTAAAATGTCAGCATCAAAAATTATGGACCGTTTATATTTTGATTAATTCGATTTTTACATTGATGTTTATGCCTTTTTTGGAAGTTTCTTTATTTCTTTTCAGTTTTCTTTTTTTTTCTATTCTCTTTGAGGATGTATGGAAAGTAGATTAGGTAGCGCCTCAGAATGAGAAAACGGAGAAAAAGAATTCCAATTGACTTCATTGCATTCACACATACTCAAATAAAATTGGGAAAGTATGACTCTATGTGCCCCCTAACTATGGGTTAAACAGTAGGACTTGTGAAAGAAAATCATTTTTATTTTAAAAAAGTCTTATTGCAATAGACACTAAAAAGAATTATCTTTACAATTCGAAAATATTTTCGGCTTTAATATCTCACAATGGGTTGATAAGCCGTAAAAATCAGTCCTATCCTCCTTCCTATTTCTTGTTCCTACAAATTACCTTCATTTGATCCTATTCTATTCTTTACTTCTTTTCTTTTGTCTATCCATCCACTGATTCATTCTTGTCTTCTTTTATTCCTCCTTTCCTTCTGTCCTTCCTTCCTTCCTTCCTTCCTTCCTTCCTTCCTTCCTAGGCAAGACGATATACTACGTCCAGCAGCAAGGCCTCTGATCAGGAGGTTTTGAGGAGCGTGGAATCAACTCTTACTTTCTGGTATTCCCAGGTCCACCCTGACCCGGGGTGGTAGCACCTGTTAAGGTCCCAGCTATGGGCAAATAGTTAACCCCCACAAAAGGAGTCAAAACACTATGAATACCATTGGAAAAATATTTACCTGCAAAAAAATTTTTGAAAAAGAAAAATATTACCAGCAATACTTTTTGGGAAACATTATTACCAACAAAGTATAACCAGCAATAAAAATCTTGTCGGCATTACATAAACCATTGAGGTTGATATGCCATAAAACAAACCAAATCAAACCAAACCAAACCAATCCACTCCACTCCTTCCTTCCTTCCTTCAAATTTATTTTCTTTTTAAGTTACGTTTATCTTTTCTTTCAATCACTCGTTCGCTTCTTTATTAGTTGATTTCTCTTTTCTTATTTATTTTTTCTCATTCCCAAATTATTTTCTTTCTTTCTTTAATTGAGTTTATAATCTTTCAGTTTTTTCTTCATTTTATACTTTTTTGTTGTTATTAAGAAATGAATTCAGTCACGTATTAATATATTTCCTAAAGCCTTTTACTTCCTTCTTTCTTTCATTATTTGAAACTCTCTTGAGAGGAGCTGACCAAAAGCCGTGTAAGTAAGCTCCTTTGAATCGACTTGTAAAATCATCGAATTCAAATCTCACAACGAGCATTATAGTTTTCCCTCTTCCCTCGCAATTAAAAAATGTATTTGTAAAATTTATGATACCTGAAGGTATAAACATTTTTCACACCGATTGCTCCTTTCTTTGACATGCATTCATGCGATGATAAACAAGTCGACAGATTCACTTTTCCATTCATAAAAGAAAACACATTTTTACGGTTATGAGTCGAAATATATTCACAAGTTTTCGTTTTGGAAATTAAGTCCTTTTCATTGACTTCAACCGGAAGAAATGAAGAAATTAAAATAAATAAAAAAAAAAAGCAAGCTGAAAGAATTCCTATAGAAGTGGGAAAGAAAGTTCAGTGCAAACGTTGTGGGAAAATTCAAGACAGAATTAAAAAGAAAGAGAAAAAGTTAAATAGTCTGGTAGAAAGAGAGAGGGAAAGAAAGAGTGATAGAAAGAGTGAAAGAAAGAAAGAAAGAAAGAAAGAAAGAAAGAAAGGGAGAGAAAGAGAAATGGAAAGAAAGAAAGAAAGGAGAGAAAGAGACAGGGAAAGAGTGAAAGAAAGAAAGGAAGAAAGAAAGAAAGAAAGAAAAGGAGAGAAAGGGAGAGGGAAAGAAAGAGTGAAAGAAAGAAAGGGATAGAAAGAGAGGGAAAGAAAGAGTGAAAGAAAGAAGGAAGGGATAGAAAGAGAGGGAAAGAAAGAAAGAAGGAAAGAAAGAGAGAGAGGGAAAGAAAGAGTGAAAGAAAGAAGGAAAGAAAGAGTGAAAGTAAGAAGGAAAAAGAGAGAAAGAAAGTGAGAATGAAAGATTCTTTTGTTATCTAGTTATTTATTGATATATATATATATATATATATATATATATATATATATATATATATATATATATATATCTTGTGTACGTACTGCGATATCGTCCTATTTTTTATCTGTTCCCGTATTGGACGGCGGATGTAGCATTATGGCCAAATGATTTGCGCAGTCGAAGGCTAGAGGAGGAATAGGGTGCCTACTGTAGCCCGATGAATTTGTCTTGTTGACCAATTCGATGGTGTCATGGGTTGCTGACTTAATAGAGTCTTGAAGAATCTGCAATGTTATTGATCCTGACCTGGCACCCCTTCTTTAGTTCCATTTCCTCCACCGTAATGTATTTTTTCTGTGGCTTTTCTATAAATATTTTCATGTATTCTTTATGTACACTATTTACATTATTCGGACTATTGTAATGTAATAAATATGGCGACAAAGATCAGGACAATAGTCCGAATAATGTGAATAGTGTAACAGTTTTTTTCTCTTGTACTTCTCGTTTGTGGAACTCTCTTCTGGCTTCTTGATTTCCCTGCCAACTTTGATCTTCAAAAATTCAAATGCAATGTCAATCGTTATCTATTCCTCTTCTTTTATTCTTCTCCCTGTCTTTTCGTTTTATCTTTATCTCATCTTATTTTTCTTATCTTTTCTTGTTCTTTCACACTCAGTAACCCGTTGTATCTTTGTCGCTTTATTGCTTTTCTTGGCGTGAAATGATTTTTAAAAATTCTTTCCTTCTATTGGTCAATATCGAACTTTTATTCATTATTCTTTGATTCTATATTTGTTTTCTTATAAAATATATATTCTAGTTTTTATCCATTTTGTCTTCCTTTTTGTCCTGTCCCAATGTGCATTAATTTATTTATCTGACAAGTTATTTTTTCATAGACATATTGATCCGTCACCGTAGAAATTTTTCTCAAGGCCTATTTAGTATATAATCTTCTTTATGAACATAGTGACAGTGATAAAAATTGCTCAGCCTCATTCGTTAGCTCCTTTAACGGCATGCTGTACTGCTTGTCATTCACGCCGGAAGCTGCAATACAAACATTTCAGAATGGGCGTCAATCTGAGGACAGTGCAGAGGACACGGGAAGAGTTGGATGAGTCTAATGGTGATTACGAAGGTATGGCAGTTCGGAAAAAAACTCCGAAACTTTTTGGTTGGGGTCTGAGATTCAACACGGAAGCCTACATTAAGTGCCTTGACAAGGTAGTGCTGCCCTGGATCAAGGGAGTGGCTGCTGGAATTGATTTGATTATGATGTGTGGAGCGGAGTTGAGCGAAAGACTAACAAAACTCATTTAATAACATAGATGAACTAAAGGCAAGAATTATGGCAGCATTCACCAAATTAAACAAGGAAGAGTTGCAGGAGATTCCGAAGTCGTCTGAATACCTTGTTTGAAGCCAATGGCGATTTTATTGAATAAATTTTCTCCTTATTATTTCAAGATGTTTCTGTGTCATTTTGATAAATATATCTGTTAAAATGAGATATCAGTGTTATTTTCATTTTTGCGTCCATTAGACGACAATTTATCTATCGTACCCCGTAAAAGGGGGGCAGGGAGATACAGGAAAGAAAGGGGACAGGGAGATGCAGGAAAGAAAGGGGACAGGGAGATACAGGAAAGAAAGGGGACAGGGAGATGCAGGAAAGAAAGGGGACAGGGAGATGAATAAAAATTGTAGGGACGTAAATGAAAGAAAGACAGTGACCTAATGAATATTAATCATTACTCTAATTGTTTAATTACTTCATCTTTCTTTCTTATTGAAGTCATTACTTTTTTCTCCTTTAATTTCATATAAATAAATATTTAAGCGAAAAGTCCAAAACTTTATCTCCTGGAAATAGAAATATTAGATGAACAAATATTATATGATAGAGAATACTTTTCTCGAGTTACATTTACTTCGACGAGATTTCGAAATATCAATTCTTTAAATAGTCTGCTAAATTCGATCAAAAGTTTTGCTCTGCCAAATTTGATTCCCCCTCGCTTCAAAAAAATAAATCAAATTATTACCTAAAGAGTTTTGAAACGAAAACATAGGCAACTACAGACTTAAGCCAATTTTTGCGATCGTGCTTGAATAAATTGGGCAGATTTTTCAGTGGCTATCACAAATTCAGACAAAAGTCTGTACGTAGACGTAAAGCAATACTGCAATTTTTAAAGATAATTGAATTGATTGAGAAATATAAAACATTTTTTTTTCTCCGGATCTTGTCAGTGGCATCTTATACCAATTGTATTCCATCAGTTAGGTAACATATTTTTCAACTTGTAAACAACGATGCCTTCATAGATCTCGAATCAATCTATCTATCTATCTATCTATCTATCTATCTATCTATCTATCTATCTATCTATCTAAGTGTATTCGTATCTATGTATCTATCTCAATCTGTTCTTATCTATCTATCTATCTATCTATCTATCTATCTATCTAAACAAACATATATGTTAGTCGCACTAGTTTAAGCGTTGTAAACACATTTGTGTACCTTAGCAATACATTCTTTCGGGACAGATTCCTTGATGCTGAAGTACATACAAGGATCCAAAAGGCTTTAGTGGACTTTGGAAAGTTGGAGAAACATTTGTGGTCAGATAGAGACATCACCAGCAGTACTAAAGTTTACCAAAGTTGTGTACTAACCTCCCGGTTGTACTCTTTAGATGTCTTGACGATTAACCGTCATCACCTGAAATAGCTTGAACGCTTTCATCAAAATTGTCTAAGGAGAATCCTTAACATAAAATAGCCGTCTATTATACGAGGTACCATTATTCTTCTCAGGGCCTGCTGTCCAAACATAGAAAACTTACTGATTAAAAACCAAATGAGATGGGCCGGACATGTTATAAGGACGGATGACAGTAGGTTGCCCAGCAGCTGTTTTATGGGGAGCTTGCAAATGGTAAGTGCCCTCAGCATAAGCCAAAAAAGAGACTTACGGACAGTGTGAGGAATAACTTGAAAGAGCTTAGGACAGGGGTGAATGAGTGCGAAAACTTTGCTGGTGATTGCAAGGAATGGTGCATGGCTGTTGCAGATGGATGTAAGTCAGCAGAGGAAAAGAATTTAGCACATTCAGCATTGAAAAAAAATTTAAGGAAAGATATAACCAGGAGCTTGGATGACAGCACAGCAAGCTGGAAATGCGAGACATGTGGTCATAGCCTACTGTCAAAAGCTGGGTATGTTAATCATCTGAAATCACATGAGAGACGACCTCAGTCTGTGTTACCTCCACAACCCGGTGATGCTATATGTGTGATCTGGATTAAAGAGGCATTTGCTGGTACACACGGATGACCTACCACAGCAACACTCGCTTAACCCTGTGAAATTTCTGGAGCACATCTGTCACCTGTGCTATAGGCCTTGCAAATCAGCTGCTGGTTTGAAGAGCCAACTTCGATGTCATTCGAGAGGAAACAATGATCTATATTGAATGTAGGTGTTGATGGGCAAGACGGAAGTCTTCTGTGAAGATGGGACAATCATCTATCTATCTATCTATCTATCTATCTATCTATCTATCTATCTATCTATTAACTTTGCAAAAAAGACTAATGTGGTATATCGAATTTCTTGTCCCTTAGGAGTTTGAATTTAAGAATTCGCCTTAAAAATGTTTAATAACTGAATTGAAAAAATAAAAGAGAATTTCGCACACAGTGAAAATACATTTATTAGTAAATTTTCTGATAAAAATTAAAGACATTCTTAAACCCAATGTTGTAATACCTAACATCACGCGAGAAAGCCTTTTTAAAATTGATTTTGCAAATTACATCACAAGAAAACAGCGAGAAACTTATTTATTGATTGCTATGAGAAAATGTCAAAGTTGCTTGACAGACGCCATTTTCTGATGCCATTAAAATTTGAAGAACACTGGAACAGATGTCCAAGTCTCCAGATGATCTCACGGACGGACTGAACGATTCGATTGTTATTAACAAAAATGTTCCTCTTAATAACTATCTTTAAAAGACACAGAGACACACACACACACAGACACTCTCTCTTTTTCTCTCTCTCTCAGACACACAAACACACACACGACGCGCGTATATGTACAGGATGTATTAAAAATACTTTTAGAAACGCTAGGACAAGAGTTCATATAAACATACGTGCGCAAACCCTTCTTATTTTGTTTAGTTTAAAGGGAATTTACGGTAGATGGCGCTATGTTGCTATGTGGACTAGGTTACATTTGTCATTCGTGTACATTTTTGCCTAGTCTGTCTTCAACGATTAACGTGTGTAGTTGTGAGTTAACTGAGGAGTATTCCGTTTAACTATGGCAATCTATTCATGTTATAAGCAGACAGGTATGATTTTTGTATACGGCCGTGCGAATGATAATGGACGCGAGGTTACATGGCTGTATCAGATTGTGTATCCAATCCGAATGGACATTTTCCTTATAATGAACCCGGTCCCAAAGTTTGTAAAAGAATTTTGATACCGTTATATATATATATATATATATATATATATATATATATATATATATATATATATATATATATATATGTAAAATAAAAACAGACCACTTTAATAAATAATAAATTATTTCACCACGGCCCTTTTAAAGGACTGCGGATCATCAGACTTTACTTCCAAAGGTTGAAACAAAAAATGAAAAGAAATTTACACATTTTTGACGGGCCGTATATAAGAAAATTAGTGACACCTCTCTTTTTCTCTTTATGTGCTTTTTCTCCTCTACCCATTCGATATCAATATATAACTTCCGTTAAGTTAATCGTTTAAATGTGTCAATGTCTGGACCTTCTAACGTAATTTTAAGTATGAAAGAATAGAAATTTTAAATTACATCTAACTCACTCATGTCTTCTCTCTCCCCTCACTTCCTCACTTCGTTAATTTACATATGCTTAATACGGCCCGTCAAAAATGTGTAAATTTCTTTTCATTTTTTGTTTCAACATTTGGAAATAAGGTCTGATTATTCGCAGCCCTTTAAAAGGGCTGTGGTGAAATAATTTATTACATGGAACCTTAAAGTGGTCTGTTTTTATTTAAATTATTTGCTCTGGACTTACATTGAGCTCTCTGGATTTTATCCTCCTTGGGTTTACCCATACGGATTACATAGTTTTTCATAAACTAACTATATATATATATATATATATGAAGAAATCTAGTTTTAAGGTGTGGTATATTTATGGGATAAAGTGCTCAATATCAATATCAGAGCGTATGTAAATATAAATATAAAAGTGAACATTGAAGTCAACACTCAGAGGCTACAGGCTGTTGCATGCTGGACGCAATCGTTAGGCTTGATGATTGCGTCTAGCATGAAACAACCTGTTGCCTCTGAGTGCTGACTTCCATGTTCATATATATATATATATATATATATATATATATATATATGGGAGAAAATATATGAAAAAGTGAAAAAAGTTTTGTCCTTTAGGACTGCGTCAGACTAAATTTGTTATGTTGGTGCGACTGCACATGCGCACGAATAAGGGATGCTGGGAATTTTGAGTATTTTGTTTTTATATCTAGCCGATTTCATTTAGATACTTTTTTCTTTTTCTTTCCTTCATTTCTGCTAGAAGATATCCCACACTGTGTTAATAGAAGTTCTGCCAGGAATGTTGAAATGTGTGATCACGTGACCCGGGATCGAATCTCAGTATGGTCGATTTGTCAGGAAGGAGACTTCCTGGTGTTATTGGATTGAAGGGGTCGATCCCAGAGGGCGGCACCTTTGGAAAGTGCCTGAAAAGCATACCTCGGGTCGACCTTGTGAGTGAAACTGGTTAGATGGAACCCTTGGGGGGGGGCATTGATAACTGTGCTATCACGAAGTCACAAGTTAACATTGCCGAGGGCTTGAGTGTGCTGACCTTGTTCAAATTGTTGGTCACGCTAGATAACATGCTTTCTCCCAGAAACTGTAACTAAGGTCTGCTCAGCATAGTTGCAGTATACATCACAGGTGGGCTCTGTGGGTGTTGTACAAGCACAAATGCGCCTGATCAAGCGTCTGCAATAGGGGTTGGTTAGACGCCCTAGTAGACGGGTATCCTCGAATACGGGTGGCCAGCTATCCTATATATATGTATTTGCTTTTCTTAACTTTATTTCTTTTAATTGTAAGTTTTCTCTTCCTTTTTTATGAGGTAATATATTTGTTCCTATGTGAGTCATGGTAAATATGCACGCTTGAACGATTTTTTTGTTCTTGATTTTCTTTTGTCTCGTTATATGTCGGATGTGTGTTCTGTCGAAGAAGCGTGGAAGTCTTTCGAATTACGTGTGCATCATCTACACGTATATTTACATGCGTTCATGTGTATGTGTATGTGCATGTGTGTGTGCGTGAAATAATGACTGCTCACCCCGACAAAATGAATCTCCTCCCAGCAATTGAAATCTGCCCCACCTATTTCTATTGCTTTTTATTCATCTATTTTGCTTCAGTTCAACAGAACAATGATGTCTACAGAGCAGGTAAAGTTGTTTTCAGCCACCACTGAGATATATTTTAGTTTCATGACGTCACACTAAATAATAATAATAATAATAATAATGATCATGATGATGAAGATGAAGAAAAAGAAGAATTTCGGCACGAGACATTTCGTAAATTGATTGTATTGAAATTTCTTCAGAAATAGATTCGCGCTGAAATGTGTGTCGACGCTGAGATGAAAACGAGTTTCAATATTTCCAAGATTCCGGGCGAGTCTCACC